CAAGAGAGAATGAACACCTTTCATCCAAACACTTTGAGCCAGGCCAGAGAAGGGCCCAGTGCATCTGTCTCTCACTTGGTGCGGCTTGAGCTCCCCAGGGATGGCCAGTATTGTCAGTGTCTGAAATCTGAAGGTGCAGCACCCACGGCCCTGCACAAGTCCTGCTGGCCCCGTCAGCCCCCTAGGCAGGCTGTGTGACCTCAGCCAGATGCCTTCCCCTCTCTGATCCCACACTCTGTCTGGGCACCTCTAGAGTTGGGACAGAATCTGTATGTACCCTCTCACTGCTGCTCCTGACCCTTGGCCTCTGACCTGTCTTCCAGCTCCGTCGGCTGTGTCCATCATGCACCCGGTGAGCCGCACGGTGGACAGCATCACCCTGTCGTGGTCCCAGCCTGACCAGCCCAACGGCGTCATCCTGGACTATGAGCTGCAGTACTATGAGAAGGTACCTGTGCTCCTGGGCCCACTCCCCACCTCCACATCCCTGGGCCTGCGGTTCTACCCTCCTCCGAGACTGGGCACCCTGGTACAGCAGAAAGAGCACTGGCCTCAGAGTCAAGCTGCCTGGCTCAATTCTGACTCCAGTCCTCCCCAGCTGGGAGACCTCAGGCAGGTGCCTTGACCTCTCCGAGTTGCGCTTTTCTGGTCTGGGGCATCAGGCCAGCAATCTCAGTAAAATGGTCAGGGCCCTTTCCTCACCAGGACCCCCTTCCTCTTGACTTCAGTGGGCCTGATGTTCTGAAAGAGCTGGTTTCCCAGAAAGCTTCCCCCATTCTGAAGCAGAGATTTGAAAGTGCTCCAGACAGCTCTGTACAGGGCAGGAGTGGAGCCTCCTCCCCGTGTTGCTCTGATTCCAGCTAAAACACTTGTTTCCATTTGCCTGGGTGCCATTTGTAGTGGGCAGTTTCTCTTTGAGCTTTTATTTATTTATTTATTTATTTTTAATTTTTTTTTCAACGTTTTTATTTATTTTTGGGACAGAGAGAGACAGAGCATGAACGGGGGAGGGGCAGAGAGAGAGGGAGACACAGAATCGGAAACAGGCTCCAGGCTCCGAGCCATCAGCCCAGAGCCTGACGCGGGGCTCGAAGTCACGCGAGATCACGCGAGACCTCGCGAGATCGTGACCTGGCTGAAGTCGGACGCTTAACCGACTGCGCCACCCAGGCGCCCCTCTTTGAGCTTTTAATTCAGACCTTTAATTCTCTCTCAGGGACCCCTAGGACCCAGGGACCAAGGGTTAGAAGCCGCTGGTGTTGTAGAAGGAGCATTGGACTGGGAGTGAGAAGCCATAGGTTCAGGTCCCAGCTCCAACCACAACAGCTGTGTGACCTTGGGCAGCCATCTTTCTCTCTCTGAACCTCAGTTGCCTCCTGTGTCAAATGCAAACAAGATTGCCTCTCTTGTTGGCAAGACTGGGGGCTGCACAGGTCAAGGAGAAAAGGCAGGGACAGTACCCAGAATGGCTCCCGGCCCTAACAGAGTGTACTTTCCTTCCTCCCTTCTGCCCTGCCTTTTGCATGGTGGGCAAAAGCTACACAACATGAGGCCAGGCGAGGCCAGTACATTTGAACATGGGGCCTGCATGGTGTAGGGGCCAGGGGGTGGATGGAGCAGCTGGACATCAGAGGCTCAGAAAACTCTCTCTTTTTGAGTGGAGACTTTTCTTACCTGCAGCCTAAAGCATCAAGCAGCCACAGAGGCTGGAAGAGCCCCTGGGAAAGGTGTCACTTGGATCTCATTCAGACTAAAGTGTAAATGACTACAGAAAGTGCTTTAGTTGAGGGTTGGGAACTGGAAATGAATAGAAAGTCTCTCGTAAGGGTTGAGAGGAAAAGAGGTGGAAACAGTACCAGCCACCACTGCTGGAGCCCAGCCTTCGGAGGCCCAGCCCCGCCCTTCCACTCTGTTAACTGCAGGCTCAGCCAAACTCTGGTGAGCCTCAAGACGTTTTCAAACACCTATCCAGCCTCACCCAGCCGGTCTGTGATTGCTTGTTTCCTCGCTCATCCTTTGCTCTAGGCAGTGCATTCTGAGAAGCCAGGGACCACATCTGTCCCATTCACCATCTTCTCCCCGATACCCTGGGCCCAGCACCAAAGAGACACTTGAGAAATATTGGTTGAATGGATAAGTGAATGAATCCCCTCCCACGGCCTGTTCCTCCAGAGTGGGGACCTTGCCTTACCTCTGCCATTTCCCCAGCCTGGCACACAGTAGGTGCTCACGAGGTGCTGCTGGATGGCCCAAGGTGAGGACAATGTGAGGGAAGCAGCCCCACCCCTCACTGGGCCCTGGAGGGCCTTGAAGGAGCCAGGCATCCTGTAGCCTTAGCCAGACCAGCTGCTCCCAGGCCCAGGAAGCCCCAGGCCCTACAGAAGCCAGCATTTCCACCCCCTCTGGCGGGGGCAGTTCAGCACCTCAGAATTCAAGAAAGAAAGGGGGGAAAAAAAAACTAATTAAGAAGCTTTATGATTAAACGAAACTGAAAGTGTTTGTCCCCAAAGACTAGAGCGGAAATGAGGAATCCCGGCGCGGGTCCTGCCTACGACCCATTTCCTACCGAGGCGGGAGGGGCTGTGGAGGCTGATGGAGGTGTGAACCAGGAGGCGGCTCTGCCCTACTTTCTGCCGCTGCCCTGCATCCCCAGGCCCCTGCCGAGGTGGCAGGCCCAGCAAGCCCTAAAGCGGCCGCGGCTACCACCTGTTCGCATTTCATGAGCACAGAGCACGTGCCAAGCACGCCACCTCCGTCGTCTCGTTCCTCCTTCCAGCAAGGCCATTCACCCCCCTGGACGGGAGTGGAAACTGAGGCACGGAGAAGGTGTGTGACCTGTTCAAGACCACCCAGCTGCTAAGTGGCAGAGAAAACAGGATTTGGGCCTGCGTTCTCACTCTTCGCCTGGCTCTCCGGCTTCCTCCCTCCCCTTTCACCCTCCCAGGGGTGCTTCTGGGATGACTGTTAAAGGGTGGACGGGGCCAGGCTCTGAGGGGGGGATCTTAGATACAAATGGCGAGAGAGGGACAAGCCTCAGGTACAGCTGTGATGAGACATGGCGCTACCCTGTCAGCCCCTCCTGCTGGGCCTGGGGTGCAGTGAGGGGCAGCCTGGAATCTGCCAATGGGAGAAATGGACACTGGTTCATTCAATATTTGCTGTCACCAACTCTGGGCTGGGCCCTGGGCTGGGTGCTGGGAGTACTGAGATTAGCCAGACATGCCCAGAGGCCTCAGGGCCTTCACCGTCCAGGGGAAAAGACACCTCCAGACACAAATAGCCATGAGACGGGTGTGACACAGTCACAGAAGGGCAGGCAAAGATCTGTCAAGGCACCAAGGAGGGACCCATGGTCTGAGTATAAGTGAGGGGAAGTCTTCATTCCAGTGACATTTGAGCTGAGCCTCAAAAGTTGCTAGGAGTTCACCAGACAGACAAGTGATGAGAGCAAAGTCATTCCAGACAGCAGAAACAAGACACGCAAAGGCCCTGGGGCAGGAGAAGGCAAGTATGGAGGAGCAATATGACCAAGGGAGAGATTAGCAGGGAAAGAGTTGGAGAGGGAGGCAGGGCTGGGTTGTGGTGGGCCTTCCATGCCTTTGGAGTCTGGATTCAATTTAAAGTACTATGGGAAGCCGGTGGAAGGTTCTGGAATGATGTGATCTGACTCAGATTACGTTTAAGATCCCTGTATCTTGCTGTGTGGAAAACAGAGTATAAGGGAGTCCTGGAGACACAGACCCTTTTGAGGGCTCTCGTGGGACACCGAGTGAGAAATGATAGTGGCATGATGGAGTAAGGGCCGGCAGCACAGATGGTGAGAGGCCTACAGATTCAGGGGACCAGGGAAGTGTGAAGGACAACTCCCAGTGGATGGTGGTGCCTTTTCCTGGGGCCAGTGTGGGTTCGCGATTTGCAGGTGTAGGTATGGTGCTCGCCAGGAGTGGAAAGGTATAGCCAAGAACAGACAGGGGAGTGTGCAGAGGAAAAAGAAATGGATGGATAGAATCAGGAGAGTGTGGCAGAATTAAGGGGAGAAGGAAAAAGGAGTTGATGAAAATGTCAGAGGAGATGCCAGCACAGGGGTAGGAGCAGTCTCGGTCCCCAACCTCTCAGGCTTCCTAGGTCAACCTGGCTGTCCCATCAGGGAGGGACCTCCAGGATGCAAGATGGCTTCTGACAAGTCCACAGCCGGCTCTTACCTAACACTTGGGAATCCTCCTGATGCCTGCAATTGATTTCTTTAATGAATGCTCCAAATCTTCCCAGGTAGGGAAGTTAGGCACTGAGCCTTGCAGTCCCGTGTGGGCCCCACCGCCACTATCTTTTCCTTCTTTAGAAAGGGCTCTTTTTGGAGCGGGCTCTCCATTTGGCCTTTCCCCAGCTCCACTGGGATTTCCCAGCCTGCCCGGAGCCCGGAGCTAAAAAACCACTTTGCTGGAAGGCTCCTGGATGCCACTGACAAATGTGTTGGCCAGACCAGGGCTGGCTGTTTCCATCGGTTCCAGCGTCCTGGGGGAGGTGGCCTCCTTTGGCAGCTGCACCAAAGCACACAGGTTCGTGCTCCCTTTGGCTCCCCCAGAGCTCCGGGAGAAGATTCTTTTGTGAGGCCACCTATGGCAGACAGGTCCCTATAGGCCTCATCGATTGGTGTTTATTCAACAGAAATTTTTAGCTGGCAGAGCAAAGGGGAAGAGAAGGTGGGGGAGGCAGGGATGAACAGTGAAAGTCCAGGCTGCATAGGCCTCTGCCCAGTGTACGTGGAGTGGTACCTACATGGAGAGATCCATTCACTCACTCATTTATTCTTGCATTCATTCATCCATTTAATGACCATTGAGGAAGGCTTGCTCTGTCATGGCATCGATAACTATGATGGTCAATGTTTGTGAAGTCCTTATGTGTACCAGAAACGATACTAAAAGCTTTGCCCATTTTTTTTTCCTGTTGAATCTCCATACCCACTCTGTGTGGCCTATAGTATTTTATCCCATTTTAAAGATGAGAAGACCGAGTCTCATAGGGCTTAAGAAATGCTCCCAGTGCCTCATTGGCCCATAGTCTTGGGGTAAGGATTTTTGAGCTGAGGACTGGTAGATTTCATACTAGATGTCTTCTCCTAACCTGTCAGTCCTTAGTCCTTATTCAGGTAAAGGTGTTCCAGCCACGAGGGAGGAGGTAGGGGACTCTAGAGCAGCTCCTTTGTGCCAGACACTGCCTGATCACATTTCATCTTTACAACAGCCCTGGGAGGTTGGCATTTAGTGTTCCTTTCCTGAAGTAGAAAACAGGGGCTCAGGGGAGGGAAGAGTCTTTCCCAAGGTCACAATGCAAGCAAGTGGAAGAATCTGCCTCTGAAATGACTTCCCAATCCCCCGCTCTGTCCTGTTCCCGCTTTAGAGAAGGGATCTGCTAGTTTCTTTCCTCAATCTGAGGCACCTGTGCCACTGGCAGTTACCTCGCATCGCCATCCTACAATCTGGAACTTAAAACTTCCATCCTCTCTGAGTGGACACCCACCCACTCAGGCTGCAGAATTCGAGCAGATTCCGTGTTGGCTGGTGGCACCTAGTGGGCAATCTTGGTACTGCAACCTGGGTTCGTAGGTGTTGAATGGTCTATCCTGTTTTTCATTTGTCGCTGGCGGTAGTTAGTGAGCACCTACTGTGTGCTGAGCCTGGGGGGTCCCGGAGATGGATGGGACAAGGTGTCTGCCCTCAGGAAACCCACAGTCCTTAGAGAAGACACGTGCATATCGGAACAACAGGTGGGAGAGGAGAAAACGGACCTGCAAATCTTTTCTGGGACATCTGGGAAGTCTCTGCAGCAAATGTGGTACTTGTACTGAGTCTTGATGAATAGGGAACTGCCAGGCAGATGGAGAATGGATATTTCAGATAGAAGAAACAGCACTTGCAAAGTATCAGAGTGTCCAGGGAAGGTAGGGTTGCCAAATAAAATATAGGACACCAATTACATTTAAATTTTTTTAAATAATTTTTTAGTATAAGTATGTTTTAAATATTGCATGGGGGAAACTTATACAAAAAAAACACCCTATTCATTGTTTATCTGAAATTCAGATTTAACTGAGCATCTTGTATTTTTATTTGCTAAATCTGGCAGTCCTACCAAGAAAGGGAAGGGAAGCATTTGGGTATGACTGGAGCCTGGAGGACCCTT